TTTTTGATTTTGCCGAAAAGTTCTTTACTACCCTGTAATGCCTTGCGGTACGTTTTCGATGGGCTACCCTGTATACTAGACTAGGATGAGTATCAAATTCTTTATAAAATATGTAGCAGCTAATTAATATTTTAATAGCTTATTCAACATTCCTTTAATTGCATGAGGATATTACTCCTGTAAGAATTAATAGACATCTTCAGACATCCAATAATTTATTACTTCATCATGGACGTCTATGAAAATTTTACGAAAAAAAATATTTATTTTCTTCAAGTCCTCGATATTGTGAGTATTACTCTGCTTCGTGAGTTGAGACAAGTTGTGAAAATCGACAATGTATGTATTTATTTAAATATTGCAAAATTATTCGTGTTAAAATTAGTCTCAACCTTTACTTACATGAAACGACAGGTGTAAAATTGTAAACTCGACCTTCCGATCCAGACAACCTCGCCGCACTAGTCAAAAGTTTAGTAAATATAGCGAGAGGTATACAAAACAATCGTGCTTGAATTAAAATAACGTTTCATTTACATGCATCACACCGCAGAGCACACTATCATTTTGTGAATCCGAAAAATCCCTAAATTTTGGGGTCACCAATGTTGATGCTTCGTTTACAATGAACAATGACAAACCGTTACGTCTACGCTCGAGATAATGCGATCGCTGATTGGTTGAGTAGAATCTCGTGAAAAATTACATCAACCACAGGTGGTGAAACAGAATATTGTGTTTTAATGTAATTCTGATTTTATTGTTTAATAATTATTCTTAATTTTACCTAAATTGAATTGCAAACATGAAGGAGCTAGAATTAATGTTCCAAACAAAATTACTGCCCACATGACTTGTAATCATTTATGAATACTATTGTTTAAATGACATTCGGTTTATATGCCAATTAAGTATTAATTTTCTTGATCATATATTTGTATACGACAGAAATCTGTTTCTTATAGCATCGAATCGACAATTTTTTATTGCCAGCAACAGTGTACCACAGGGTTCAAAATTAGGGCCAGTTTTTATTTAACTATCATTAACGATTATCATCAGAACGTCTCACGTATGCTAACGAGTTGAAACTATTCGAAGAAATGGATAACATCAATGATTATTTGTCATTACATAACGATGTTGATGAACTTTATGACTGGTTGGTAGAAAATAAATTACCTTTGAATGTAGATACATGTAAAATAGTTCAGCAGAGCTAAAACACCCGAGCAATGTTTATACTATGAAAAGTAACGCACTTTAAGTAAGAATTTATTAATCCAAAGATTTAGAAATATATTTTCAAATGAATTTATGAATATGTCAAGTATGTGTTTTTGTATTCATTATATTTAGACACATAATTTTTAATTTTTTTTTAGATGGTGTACGGTAAATACCCATTTCAAAAATGAAAATGACAGTTTAACATTTACCGAAGTCACGGGGGCAGATCTAAAACAGTCGCAGTTTCTAATAGATGCTATATTCACTAATGGTGGTGAGGTATCAACTACTTTTGTAATCCCACTATCCGCGTCATTGTTAATAACATCTACATGACTGCCTCTGATTTGAAGCTTCGCATCGATCAATTTATTCGAACATATCTAGCGGCACCCTAATGCCTGAATTCGACGCCTTGCTTAATCGAGAGTATGGCACGGTTTTCATGACAGTGAGTGTAGTCAGTAGCATTGTGTATTATGATCATAACACATTATGCACATAACTCGATCACAGATTTATTGTTGAAATATAATTGCACATATAAAAATGTGACTGAAATCATTCTACTGAATGAAATTAACTGATAAATATTTTGCCGCCCCTGTAAAACGCCAAATTCAGCAATGTGATATTGGATAAGAAATATTTATAAAATTGAATCAATCTTGTAATAGAATATAAAAATTATAACTTGATTTATCCATTTTTATCAAGTGAATGTATTTGCAAAAGGATTTTTTTTCCTTCTGTTTATATGAAGTTTTCTCAGAAAATTACTTTTTTTATAAATTATTATATACTAAAGACATTGTGGTATAAGGAGATCCTTCTACATTGGTTTTAAATGTAGCAATTACGAGATAGACAATGCTTTCATGGTTATTCTAAGTTATGAACGTTATTACTGTAAATATAAAAACCAAGAGACCGCGGTAAAACACCGTCGACAACACGGAAAGGCTGGGAAATTGCAAAGTTTACTGCACTCCGTCTTGCATCGATGAGGATTCCGCAAATAAGATCACAGAAGCGGAAAATTCATTTCCGACATAATTTTTCAGTTTTTGTTTTACCGTGCGGGTACAACGCTACAAGACGCATGTCTAAACTTTAAGTGTCCATAGTAGATGGTAGATTAATGTTGCAGAGTATAAAACATTTAGAGCGACATACAAATGTTGTTTTGAATGTCAAAAAAGAGTAGGTACTCCAGAAAATAAGGAAAAAATGTTCGCTTGAACATAGGTCTGGATCTGGAAGCGCTTCGTTTCCGGGAAACACTCTGTGGTGTTTCGAATAAAGAAAATTGTTTTTATCTTCCAAACGGTTGACTAAATTGTTTCATATTTGGTACAGTGTAGTACCAAATAAGTCTACACGCTTTGAATATGTCGATGACAATTGAGATAATTCAAGAATAGATATTCAGAGGTATCATTTTTAAGTTTAACATATTTATTCAATGAAAAATACGTTATACAGGCGCGCAAAAAAGTCTATTTTTTCGATCAGACCCTGTTATTATGTTCACGAACCCACTGAATTTGATGCAGGTAAGTACCTGTATTTTCGAGAAACAGCCTAGGAAATTATAAAGGTTATTAAGTACTATATTTCTTTAAAATATGGAACAATTATGCTTTTCTATTTTAGTTCTATTCGGTCACAATGTCATTAATTTTAAAGGAAGATAGGGAAAATGAGTAAAATACGCGATTAAAACAATTTTAAAAACGCTCCTGATCGCTGATCTACAAAGGTTTATCGAGAGTGACACTTGACTTACCGTAACATTGGGTCATTAACCTAACTTTTATTGTGTTTTTAATAGTGAACGACAAAAACACCTTTTTACCTAGAGACATGAATGAATAAGATATTTTTTGCATTTTAAATATTATTATTAGGTATTATTTATTTGTTAATAAAAACAATTGTATAATGATAATTATTATTTTTGAATATTAGGTTATTTAGTAGGTGCTTTTAATACTGTTAACGTTTTCACTATGTGTTTACAATTGAATGTTTGTTTTTAGTAATATGTTCAATTAATTATTCAGTTTGTAGTACGTATACCATATTGTGTGACTTATTGCTTTTCAAAGAGTAGTACCGTATCTACTATATATTTAAAATAACTGTACGACTAAAGAAATACTCACCCATCCGTCTACAACACTGTTAAGATGGGATCAGCACTTTGATTTTGAAGCCAATTGCAAGACGGCTGAAGAAATCAGCTGTTTCGCTTCAACGTTCGAATGCTGTGGTGCGCCATCGCGATCCCAGTCAGCAAAGGTGATACAAAGCAGGGTGCCGAGTTAACGGGAGTTAAGGGGTAATTTGCAATTTTTTTAGTCGAGTAAAATGTTTTTTTCGATTTTCTGTCTGTATTAGGTCTTCCGAATAAGTGGTTAAAATTAATGACTTTATGAATGAATCGCCCTGTATAGCTGATAAAGATCTTATTTGTGACATTGCTGTGATAAATATACCTTTCAGAAAAGTGTGACACTGTAATTCCCATTTTTTTGTTTTCTTTTTTATATAAAACATAGCCGTCTTCTTTTCATCAAAATATATTCGCTATTCTTTTGAACACATTTTTAGATCAGGATAGGTAAAATTTCTTGCATTTTTTAATCGTAAAATTTATGTTATTCGATTTGCACATTTGGTTCGAATCCTAAAATTCTAACCTAAAAATTGTAACAAGTGGCTGAGGGGGCTGAAGTACGAGCAACTCAATCCCAAGAAATTGTATTATTAGGTTTTACAGATTCAGCACAAGAAAGTAAAAAAATTTAAAGGTCTAACACATCGCCTATTTTATTTGGTTAAACTTTAGAAGTAATAGTTTATATGACTTCTAAAGACACCATTATATTTTTAACAGATGAAGAAATCCAGGACTAACTAATCAGATTTAAGAGGTTATATTTATTTTCAGTTTATTTTTAAATTAAACACAGTTTCAAAAACATCTTTTGACATTTATTTGATTCGAACAATATGATCCGGATCAAAAATCCGTGATTCAATGAATCGATGAAAAGAAGAAGGGTTATATTAGAATACAATAGCTTTCAGTTTTTAAGGATTTTGAATATGGGTGTTCAGAATGGATGAACAAAAAAAATTAAATGATCATTCAGATCATAAAAATAATGACATAAGTTCCTATAATGATTTCTCGAAAGCTTAACATTAAGGAAATTATACGTAAGCCCAAAGTTATATTGATATTTTGCCATTAATTTTTATTTAGTTAAACGATTTTTTTCCAAATTTGTTACACTCGTTATTGGCAGCAAACTACACCACGAAAAAAAAATCGTCAAAATTCTAAAGCTCTAAAAAACTTCACTGGTCTTATTGGGTAGGAAATTAATGCCCTTTTTATTTAAAATATCTCAAATTAAAATACTGAGGTTATGTGGTATAGTTTCCGGACACCCTGTGTATTGAATAATATTAATAAAACATTATTACAAACCATTTTAAGCATCGTAAAAAAATATCTAATCTCCAAATTTCAAAACTCAACAAACGATCGATAACAGAAGCGATACCGCTTAAAATGAACAACCCTCAACGCTCGGTATATTAAAGACCGGAGAATCGACAAGTGCGCGGTTAGAGCGATGTCAGATCGATAGAATAAACGGCGCCGCTGGATTGGCTGCAGAAAATCAATGGCGGTTGGGGTCCCACCGATAATATCGATTTTCCTCAACTGCCTCGACAGACCTTAGGCTGCGTACCTCTAGCTCGTGCTATTGTCGTGACGCCGCAAGTGCATAGTGACGTGCCTCTCCGAAAATTCCCCGAAAAAAAGGTAAAATTTAAGTTAAGATCGAGTGTGTGTGTCATGCGAGAATGCGAGCGATCCGCTTTTGTTTGAGAGTTTGAAAGCAGGCAACGCGATACGCGATTGAAAGCGGCTATTTAGATCCAGGCGGCTGGCGGGCGAACTACGCCAGTGCCGCCGAGATCGGTGTTATTGAAATATTGAACGGTGGGCCGGTAAAAATGCCGAGCGTGTTTGTTAATTGATTGCGATGTTACGGCGATGGATGGTTGGTGATGAAAAAAAAACCTTTGTTTAATTATAAACCGCAACTGCTTTTGTAACTGGTTCTATGGATCGGCATCGAATCAAAGAAATTCGAATTTATTGATTTTCGAATCGCATTAAATGATAATATACAGTGTACAGGTTGAATGAATTAGACAGTACCTTGTTGTATTCCCTCTAAAAACGTTATAGGCATTTTTTAAATTTTAATATCAAAATATATATTTTTTGTTGTGATTGCAAAATTGTTAAGTGTAATTTCAATTTTTTTTTTAATTTTTTCAAAGATTTACCTATAGATTTACAAAGATTTACCTATAGATTTTCAAAGATTTACCTATAGATTTAGTACAAAGAAAGTTATGAAGGTTTGTGCATTAGAAATATTTTTCTAGCACTTGTAAATATGTATACGCAATAGAGTCTAAGGGGTGTTTACAAATTTGCAGAGGATATCTGAAAGTTAATAAATTGACCCGCGGACACTCGATTACAGAAATATTTTTTTGCAAATAGAATATTTCTTTAGTACTTAGTGGCTTACCACACTGATACGATAGAAACTTTATTGAAACCACCATTATTTGCCAGGGTTGCTGCGCGCCGCCTATTTCAAAATCCCTGTAAATAAAGATATGCAACTTGTTTTTATCAACGTTTCCTTAATTCAACTCTTCTATATTGATGGACCATATAAATTGAACTAGCAATTTTTCTGTTTACTGTAAGGGCTAAACTGATACTGATACTGATACTGAACTGATACTGATACAGTAAGATATTTTTGGATAAAGCTGATCTTAAGGCTAATCCAAGTAAAATGTATTTTCAATACAAAGAAATAACTTAATACATTCTGAAACCTTCCTATTCGACCTAAAACTAAAAGGACAGGTAGAAATATCTGCAAATTACCTGAAACTTGCATTTATTTTTATTACCTTAAAGTTAAACTTTGGAAGGTTCAAGATAATAAGATAATCCATAGTAAATGGGCAGGATTTTTCCGTACCTTCATTATATGCTGCATAAATACTGGTAATTAAAATAATATACAGGGTGTTTCGCATAAGAACCGATACAAAACAGGGGCATGTAGGGGAAATATGGTGATTTAACGCAACTTACATTTATACTAGCTGCACCTCTGTTAGAGTTATAGACCTTGAAAGAGGGGTTTCAAATTTCGAAAAAAATTAATATCTCAGTTATACTTGAACTTAGAAAAACCAAATTTGGTATAGTCTTTCCGATTTCATTTGAAGAACCAAAAGGTTGACAGTATGTACCAGGTCCTGTCGCTGACGCAGCAACTCGCCATTGAAATATTTAAAACTTGTTCCTATATTTATTTTTCCATACCCATATACAGGTCTGGTCGTACAAAACGTGGAGGTGGTAGAAATGTATACGCCCAGTTGAAGAAACGAAACGAAATACAAACACAGCTGCATTGGGCCACTGGGCAATAAATCTCAGCTGTTGACAAGTGGTTGACAAATTGCCCAGCAGTGCAGTGCAACAATGCGGAATTAACTTTTTTAGGGACGCCTATGAAAGTCATTAAATTTTATTTTATTGCCAGGCGTTTTTTTACATGTTCAACTGACTTCGGAAAGACTATACACGGTGTGAGTGTACCAAGAGCATTAATCGGCAGTATAGTTCAATTAAAACATTTTAAAGGGTTGATATGCACCATCAAAATGTGACGGAATATTTTAACTCATTAGCAGATTTAAAAAATTATTACTTTATTTTATGAGAAATTTCATTCTAAAACTTTTCCTACTCTTGTTAGTTTTCAAAAAACTTGTCGTTTTCGACAACAACACGAATAACTAATAATACGTATTGTAGCTGTGTTATTTAAAATCATCGAAAATTCAAAAGTTGGCTATGAATTTATACGTCAAACTTGACAATCAGGAGAAAAAATTGAATAAGAATAATTTAATAGAAAAACAAACAACTTAAACAACAGAAATAACATACGATTTGCACTGACAAGATATAGAAAATTTTCAAAATTATCACCGTTTTCTCTCAGGCATAAATTTATTCTTCGTCGAAAATTGAAGTCTATCCAATAACTGCCGATTGTTTCTAATGAATGTGCATTTATCCGTAACGCGATTCCACAATTTTGTTCGAGACGCAACTGGCGAGGAATACACAAATTCTTTTAACGTTTCCCAAACAAAGAAGTCACATTTGTTTAGCTGTGGTGATCTGGTGGGCAATTATTTCCTCTTCCAATCCATTTATTTAGATACTGGTGGTTTAAAGTCTAACAATATTACTACAATAAGAGGGTGCTCGATCATGCATAAATCAGTGTTCCAGTCTGAGTTGTAATGGCACCCCGTCAAGTAGATCCGGGAGAATGTTTTGGAGAAATTCTAAATAAGTTTCGCCATTTACTCGATTCGGTAAAATAACTGGACCAATTAAATACCGATTAAAAACACCGATCCAAACATTTATTTTAAATTTGCGTTGGAGTTACTGAATAAGGATTTATATCGGAATACTCATGATAGTTATGTAAATCTGTAATACCTCTGTGAGTGAAATAAGTTTCTTTCGAAAATTAATGCCTTGATGTAAAATAAACTGACAGAAATTCAGTCGTTTAACCAAATCATTAGGTAACAATTCTTGCACTTTTTGGATATTACAGATTACGTCTGATCACTCGATGTACAGAAGTTTGCGATACATCAGTTTGTCGGGATAAAATTATAGTACTAATATGTGGGTCATCTTCAATTGTATTCAAAATAAGTTCGTCGTCTTGTGCCTTGATTGCAATAGCACGTTCTCGAGTGTTACTGAAAAACTTCCGCCCGTCTTTCAACATTGAAAAATGTTTTTCTATGGGGGATTACACGATTTGGAAATCTTCTCCAATATTCTTCAACACTTCTTCTGTAGTTTCCTCCACAGAAACCTAACATTAATAGCATGTCAACTTGTTCGCTAAATCAAAACTTCCTGACCATTTCCATAACACCCAGTAAACAATTACTAAAATTAACTGACTTTTTTTTCTGATAGTTAAGTTTGACGTTTACATAGCCAACTTTTGAAATTTCGATGATTTTAAATAACAGCTACAATACGTATTGTTAGTTATTCGTGTTTTTGTTGAAAACGACCAAGTTTTTTAAAAATCAACAAGAATAAGAAAAGTTTTATAATTAAATATATTAACACAAAATTTCTAATTCTTTAAAAATTATAAACAAATTGCTATCATAATTTTGTCTTAAAGACATTCTGTTTTCAGGTTTAATTAGGTAGGTCCAATTCCAGATATGGAGAAACAGGCGGAAATTTGCGAGACCTATCAGCTGAAATGGAGCTCCTACAACGCCTATATCCACTCCTGCATAGCCACTTCCCTCCAAAACGACTCATTTGCCGACGTGGCTCTCGTCACCGTGGACGGACACCAGATCATGGCTCACCGCTTCGTGCTGACCTACAGCAGCCTGTTCCTGGCCCAGGTCCTCAAATTCCAGCCCAAAGCCACCACGGCTCTGCCTCTGGTGATAATCATGCCTCCCGAAATCGACTACAAGAGTCTCAAGGTGCTCGTCAGGTATGCCAAGCTAAAAGATCAGTTATGAACAATCATCAGCTATCTAGCATTGCTCAATTAAGACTGTGTAACTCAACTGAGTATTATATTCTAGGTACATGTACAGCGGGGAAGCAAAGGTGTCCAAAGAGATCCTGAACAACGTGTTGCGTGGAGGAGACATCCTCCAAGTCAAAGGCCTATATCGCGAAAAAGAAGACCAGGAAAAGAACGTAAAGATCACCCAGAAACTTCCAAACAACACTTCTGCAACACCTTCAACCACATCAACAACCACCACCACTACCACCTCAACTGTCAACAAACCTGTGCAGAACGTTTTGAACAAGCCTGTTTCTAGCCCTGTGACAGTTCAAGAGAAGCCAGCTCAGAACCCAAAGTTCTTAGTTGTGCAGAAGCCCAAAGAACAACAAACCTATTCCAACCCAAGGCCCAAGGTGCTCAATTTTACCATAATGCAGAAGTACGAGAAAATTAAAGTTCCTAATGAGAATTCTTCAAATTCTACCAAACGTTTGACAATTTTGAACAAGAGCTTGGATCAGGAAAAAGGCGATAAAGAAAGCGACGAACAAGATGTGAGTGATAAAACTGAACCTTCTCCTTCAAAGGACAGTAACCTCTCGTATCTGATGATCAAAGACGAACCCATAGAGTGGAGCGAGGCCGATATGGAGATAATCGATTCCAAAGAGGTGTTCGACAATATGACCATTAAATCTGAGAACACTGAGAATTACGAATCGGAATCTATGAGTAACGAGGAGGAAATGTTTTCGCCTTTGACTTGCGAGTTGTGCACTGAGACCTTCACGATTCCCGCTGAATGGGTGAGACACGTACAGACCCATACGGACATGTTGCCAGCTAAGAGACGTCGGAGGGACAGTCCAGGGGTAAGTTCATTTTACCTTTTATAAATATCGTTTTCATAAAATAATCACAGACGCTACTGCACTACTACATCACTGGTGAAGGTCTTTGTTCGCCTTTACCGCCCAAAAAAAAACAGTTTTTATAATAATTCGTATTATAAAATTAAATAACAGGGCGTTAAAAAAAGTGTTACAAACTAGGGTGTAAGAACTGGAAAAGGTTCATATAAACATGACCTTCGTGCACCAAAAAACATATTTTCCAAATGAAAATAAAATTTTGTTTCAAATAAAATGAAATACATACAACTTTATATATTTACGTTTCGCTAAAAGAAATAATAGTTTGAGAATGAAGGTCTCGAAAATGATTTTTCTAAAAGATTTCGCGAAAAACATCTAGCAAAAATGATACCAACGTTTTTTTATCAAAATTTTATCAGAATGGTATAAAAGACATTGTTTTGGATTATGTCTTTTAAGAATATACAGGGTGTCTCACATTTAAATAGCAGGACCTCAGGAATCAGTAGAAAACCTCATTTTGAGTATGAAAGTTCCTATATATATATGGGTCCTAAAACGCTTCGTTTCTGAGATACAGGGCGTTCAATTTTATTTTTGTTTTATTTATTTATTTTTTAACTAAATAACCGCTGACAAAAAAAATCATCATGTTGCGGCGAAAGACTTAGTATTTAAGGGCAAATAATTTGACACAGAAAATCATCGCATATTAGTTCCAGTGGTGGAGATAGAGGGGTCTCTATGCATATTTTTATAAAAAAAAGTATAGCCGATTTGATATTTTGCAAATGTTTTCGAAAAATATGAAAGAGCATTCAATTTTACCCAGAAAAGGCCCTCTTGTCCAAAGTCGATAGGAGGTGGCGTTTTCAAGAAAAACCGAAAATACTGTTTAGAAGTCAAATAATAATTTTTAAACATTGTGTTACAACTAAATTAAATATGTAGTTCAAAAATTCGGTTAAAATTGTTTTTAATTAATTAAATGAAAATAAATACAAAAATAAATAACGAAAACCATATTACATCAAAGCAAATGTTCGAAATGTAAACCATTTTCTTCGATACATAACTGACACCGACGCTGAATAGAACGTCTCATTTGAATTAAGTTATTGTCTCTGATTTCACTGCATGCGTTCCGAATCCGACGAATAAGTTCATCCCTTGTGTCCACAGTAGTGGTATAAACTCTCTCTTTAATAAAACCCCAGAGGAAAAAATCTAGGGGTGTCAGATCAGGGGATCGGGGAGGCCATGCAACGATACCCCCGCGGCCAATCCATTTTTCGGGAAAGTGGGTGTTCAACCAGTTCCTGACATTTCGGCCAAAATGAGCTGGACAGCCATCAAGTTGAAACCATGCTCGCATTCTTAAATTCAGAGGAATTTCCTCCCACATGTTGGCACTCTCGGTCTCTAAGAACTCTAAGAAATTCGCAGAATTCAGTCGTTGAGGTAAGATGTAAGGGCCGAAAAGACAATTGTTATAAACGCCGAGCCAAATATTAACACTAAATTCGTGCTGAAAATTTCGTGGTCTGATTGCATGCGGGTTTTCATGTGCCCACTCATGCTGATTGTGTAAATTTGTCACACCTCGACGAGTAAAACATGACTCGTCGGTCCATAATATGTGTGATAAAAAATTTCCGTCGTTTTCAATTGAGTTAAGAATCCACCGAGAAAAAGCTATTCTATGTTCCTCGTCACCCGGACGTAAACCCTGAACAGGTTGTAAGTGGTAGGGATGTCTATGATCTCGTCTTAATGTTCTAGAAATAGTGCACCTGGAAACACCAATAATCCTGGAAATTTTTCTGGTACTCGTCGTGGGATCTCTGTCAAATTCGTGCAAGATTCGCTGATTCCTCCTATTTCTGCCAATATTAACGTTAATTATGTTGCGATCCCTATGGACCAGATTCAATCCGTCATTAGCGAAACGTTGATGAACATTAATAAAAACGTGTGGATGCGGCTGTCTTCTATTAGGAAATCGTCTCCGATATTCCCTAGCAGCTTCTGCCGAGTTCCCATTGGCAAACCCGTATATGAAGTGAATATCTGCGTATTCTTGGTTCGTAAACTTAAACGGCATTTTGAATTTGTTGCAATTTTTTTTAATACTCTACACACAATTAGAAACTATAATAAAATAAGCGCAAATGTCAATATTAGAATGACATTTCAAGTCTTATTTGATTTCTAAACAGTATTTTCGTTTTTTCTTAATTTGACTTCTAAACAGTATTTTCGGTTTTTCTTGAAAACGCCACCTCCTATCGACTTTGGACAAGAGGGCCTTTTCTGGGTAAAATTGAATGCTCTCATATTTTTCGAAAACATTTGCAAAATATCAAATCGGCTATACTTTTTTTTATAAAAAATATGCATAGAGACCCCTCTATCTCCACCACTGGAACTAATATGCGATGATTTTCTGTGTCAAATTATTTGCCCTCAAATACTAAGTCTTTCGCCGCAACATGATGATTTTATTTGTCAGCCGATATTTAGTTAAAAAATAAATAAAACAAAAATAAAATTGAACTCTCAGTATCTCAGAATCGAAGCGTTTTAGGAACCATATATATAGGAACTTTTAGACTCAAAATGAGGTCTTCTAGTGATTCCTGAAGTCCTGCTATTTAAATGTGAGACACCCTGTACATGCATCTGGGAGGAATTCTTTACTACTACTGTTAAATACATACTTTATTTTGTTTATTGAAGAAATAATTAACAACTTATTTTTGGGATTGGTTTTAATATTCTCTTTATATTCTTTACAAAATATTTTAAATGTCTATAGAATTTTTATTTTATTTCTTGTGTTAATGGTGTTTGTTTGCTATCTTTTTCGATATTAATAGAAAGTGAAATAATGTGACAAAAAACTTTTGCCCTGTATTGTTTTATTTTTGTTTGAAATAATTATTTAACTGGAAAGAAATATAAAACAAACGAATTTGGCGGACAGCGTCATGTGCACCATCTGTTGATAAGAAGCTCAACTAAAATCTCACACCACTGTCCTTTTATTCAGTAATATCATTGTTTTTAGAAGAATGGAAAACAATGGAAATATAGAGAGGAGTTACTTAAATAAAAAGTTTTCTGTAATAACGTCCTTGTCTAGTACGTCACACGGTTGTAATCGAAAATTTAAATGAGTTTTTAACAAATTTGCTTAAACGGTTTGCATTAACTTTAATTGTAAAATATTATTAAATCTAATACATATTTTTTTATTTATTTAAAGATAGTTGTTGGATATCTAAAACATCTTCTTCGACCTGTAAGTGTCTTGGCTCTCGAGCTTCTTCAACAACAAAGAACACTCGCTCGACATACAATCGCGATGTTGTGGCAGCATATTGGTAATATTCCCCGTATACTAATGTCACAACAAACCAGTAATTTTGTTTGAAACAGTAAAGTTAAAAAATATTAGAACAATAAGCTCAAGACTACATTAAAACACAACAGTCTGTTTCACCGGCTGTGATTGGTGTATTTTTTCACGAGATTCTATTCAACCAATCAGCGATCGCATTATCTCGAGCGTAGACGTAACCGTTTGTCATTGTTCGTTGTAAACGAATCATTAATATTGGTGACGTCAAGATTTAGGGATTTTTCGGAACTTCCGTTTTAGCACAAATAATAGCTATATAATACATATAAATAGACGGTTTAAGTTAAACGTGATACGTAGTAGTAAGTAAAACGTGTAATTTCTGCATTTACATATGTCACGAATTGTGTTTGAAAAGTCAATTTAAGCATGTAAAGTCTAAATGTGACATAACCTCAAACATTATGTCAAATTTGAAGTTTGAAGAAGCGTTACTTGTTTTTCCACAATAAAATGAATGATGTGAATATATTTAAGTTGCAACAGCTTCAAGAATGTCATAATTATTAGAAAAACGACAGAAAGTGTCATTTCCATGTCTTGATTTCGTCAGTCTTGTTCGCTAGTGACGTCACTACATGCGCGTGATCACACCACGACCCCAACATAAGAAACACCACAATAGTAGTTTTTAACTATCTGTTTTTTTTAGGATTCCTACGAGAACGACACCTTCCCCGAGCTGATGTGCGACATGTGCCAGAAGTCGTTCCCCACCCCCGCCGAGTGGGTGCACCACATCCAGGACACGCACACTGACTTCGAGCTGCACCTCTCCAACAAGAAGATCCACCACGGGAAGTCCGTGGTGACCGCCCCCAGTACCATCACCTCCTCCGCGTTGAACGAGCTGAGCAAGAAGTGCTCGGAGTGCAACAAGACGTTTCCGTCACACGCTTCCATGATCATCCACAGGCGGAGGCACACGGGGGAGAAGCCCTACGGCTGCGAATACTGCAACAAGAACTTCAACGTGAAGAGCAACCTGCTGAGGCATCTGAGGACGCTGCACAACAAGATCATCAATTCCACGGAGATAGAGAACAAGGATTCTCTTTCCGACAACAGCAATTAGCTTGTTTTGGTTTAAGGTTTAATGTTTTTCAGTTTAGAAGAATGTTTGTTTATTCTAGGTTAAAATTTGTTTTCAAGTAGGTCCTTTTTTTGTAAAAGTTGTAGTTTTATTTGTTTTTTTCCTCGTTTTTATATATTATAGATGGACAACCAGTTAAATTTGGAAATTAAAATACCAGATGGCGATTCTTACATGAAGATTCAGTTAACCAAACAAAATCCTGTTTCATGATAAATAAAAAGTTATTTTCAAAAGAAAACGATACAAAATATCGCGAAGAACAAATAATATAAGTAAGGATAAATTTTTATTTGTTTATTTGGTTTTAAATTTAAAATATTTTGTTCATGTTAACTTTTATACGCAAATATATTTGTTTGTCGACGTAAGCCTTTTCATTTCTGATCGTAAACTGTCATAGAATAGGTTTTATTTTTATAAATTGTCTAAATTCCATAATATAGTCCTTTCTAAAGATCCAGCTTTGTTTGTTGTTTCCCACCTGTTTGATTTAAAGTGAATACTGATAAAAATATTCAATGAACATAATATTTAAATTCAGTGCATTCATAAGTGTCTTTCACCAAACCTAAATTGTTAATGTTCATCAACTTCAGCGAAATATAGAACAAGGACTATTATCTATCCAAGAGAGCAAATACACTGAGAGAAAGCGACCAACAATCTTTAGAACAAGGGTATAGGTAAATTTTTTCTAGCATTTTTTCCACTAAAGGTAAGTAGATCATTTATTGCACTAGATAAGGGACTAGTTGAAACCTATCTATTTACGGTTAAAAATAATTTACCTTATGTTAAGGATAAAGGTGTTATGTAAAAAAAGATTAGAAGATGTGCATATTTGTAGTGACGTTGCAATTGTGTTCATAGGTTATCACTTTTGGTTCATATTTTCTTTTTACATTTTAAGAAGATATATCGTGTTTTACTTGTAACTTTTTAAATATGAAGAGGAAATTTAAAGACGAAGGTAATAATTGAATCTAGCTATATGCACACAGTTATAGCAAAAAAATCATCTATTAATGTCTAAAATGTAACTCATTTGCAGTTAAAAAGGATATTTGCTGGTATTGTGATAATAAAACTACTTTTACTAGGGTAGAAATTGTACTGTACCTACTGTAATAAGATGGTCTTGCAACAATACATAAAAAGTTAGTAAAAAACCTTTAACCTAACCACTAAAAGATTCCTTTAGCAAATTATTTTTTATTAGGAGAGCATCGTAAGCTGTCTATTATTTTCTTAGAATTAATCAATTTCTCCTTATGGATACGTGATATTTCCTTCTGTGTAATAGGTATTGCATTCTAATTTAAATTTATCGCAGTTTTGATTTTATAAGAAAATTATATTATTCTAGCTTAAAATCTATATTTTTCAACTTTTTCTTTTGTAAAAATTCTGTTAAGTATACCATTTTTCATTTGTACTACTTACCAAACAAAGAAGGGTTTGAAGATAAATTAGAATATGGTTTATTTTCATAGGAAAAGTATAAAGTGTGTAGGTATGGCAAATAACATAATATAAGGATAATTTTCTCATTGTGTATTTGGTTTTAAGCGTTTTGTTCACAATGTTATCTTCTACAAGTAAATATTTATTTCAAATCGTAAACAATAGGAAGTTTTATTTTATAAAATGTCTATTTTCTATAATAAAGTTCTTACCAAAGATATAACTTTTGCTTCTCATTTATTAGGTTCACAGGATGGATAATGAAAAGAATAATTTGAATTCAGTATAGTAATAAACAATGTTTGTCTTCATTTCACCATTTCTAAATTATAAACTCCACAGAGATAAAGAATAACCATTCTATTTTTGATGAAAACAGATTTCTCACGATTGTTTCTAAGCTCGATTTAATGCAAAAAGAGCGAATTCCCGAGCGACTTTTGCCTGATCCTGCGTTTATATCGTTGTTTTGCACATTCTACATTTTTAGTTGTAAAGAGCAACTTAATTTCAACTTTTTGAAATCTTCTTTCTATACGTTTATTTGGATCAGCTAGAACCTAAGTCTACGATATTAACTTCTAAAATTAACGTTTAGTAATTAAATAATTAGTTGCAAAAAGACAAACAAAATCCAATTGTATTTGTTCTTTTTTTTATATTATCATTCTACTACATTCCTCACCGTTATAAAATGCAATAAAATATATATTCTTTTAAGTTTTCAGCGTTTATGATCTAATTTGACTGGACTATATACGCTCTCCTCATTTTTTTAAATTTTTTTCACTTTATCGTTCACGAATCTGGCTAGTGCCTCATTTTAAGATTAATTTATAATAATCATTTCGTCTTATGCCACATTCAAGAACGTATGGTGAGAAAATTAAAGAGTGAATACTTTTTTCAATACATACGTCAGTAAATAGCATCACTAAAAGTGCCGATAATTTAATAGTAGAAGACTTTTAACGCCACTAATCGAAATGATTTTTGAGCGAATCGAGAATGAAGGTATAGTTCGTTTCAAAATAGTGTGGACCAACTAAAAATAGCACGCGCATAACCGTAGATAAAAGATCCACAATGCTTTTATTATCTTTGCATTAAGCCGAATGGGACACAATAAAATTTCAGTTGGCTACCAAGTGTGCTTGCTGTTTACTCTCGGGGTCGTAAAATTTTTATGGTAAAAGTTTTATTGCTTGGACTGTAAGAACGTCGTAAACGTTATGACAATTTTAATAGATATGTTTGTGTTTTTTGTAAACAAAAGGGACAGATTTTTGCCTGACGGCGCTAAGGAATGGAAAAATATCTCTTTCGCCAGTAGCAACTCGTGGAGAATTATAGTAATAGTAGGAATCAGGTTTATCAGGTTTCATTTCATTTCGAATCAAATTCAAGTGGGAAAATGTCGACGTACTGCATTGACATACGTAAAATTAGAAGTTTTCATTAAATACATACACAATTCTGTTGTGTCTTACTCTGCGCTTCAGATAACAGCACCAACAACAGGCAATAGTAGCCTATAGTACACTAGATTTAATCGTAAAAAAAACTCTCATTTTATTGACGAGTAGTAAACTGGAATCTGGAATTGTGTATCGGAATCATACAAACGATTGTGTTTTTGTCTTTATAAACTAGTCACAAAATAAAAGAAAACAAAAATCCTAATTTTTTAGGTGACTTTCAAAAGGCTGTAACTTCGCGAAAAATAGTCGTAGATCGATAAAAAAAAAAAGAAAATTGAAGCTTGAAATTTGTAGTATCAAGAAGTTTTATCGTTAAGGTAAAAGGAACTACCTTTTACATTTTGAATATTATAAAAATTTAAACAAAATTGTGTGAAGTATGTAAACAATAATTGTAGTTAGTGTGCCCTGTTCAACAAGGTGGAATATCGTTTATCTGTAAAAAAACTGTCTTCTCCGTTTCTTTTTCTAAAGCAGAAAACTCGAAAATTAATAAAAAATGGAAACATTTAAGAAACTCAAAATAGAGAATAGAGAAACCTTAATGAATATGAACATAATCTAATGTATGGTAGTTTTTTAAATTATTGCTGTGGGCCTATATACCTAGTCACCATCAGTTATAGACTTACGACCAAATTATCAAATCAAGTTGACTTGCACTTAACTAGGAATCTTTGACGCGCCCTTGTATTTCTCGGGCTAGGCACCGCGGGGGCAGACCCGCTATCAGAACGGAAACCATCGTAATGTAAACATCAGCATGAGCCGTCAAAAAACACATTTTAACAAAATTTATATATTCGGGATGCTCTCGAATATCAAATTAGTAGAGCTAAGGCACAGATTGATTAAATGTAAATATGTTTTAATTAAATGAACATTTTTTCATGTGTAAATAAAGAAAAGAAACAATATTTCAGTTCTATATAACTAAAAAATAACATTTATAGTACCTATTATTTTTTAATTTCAACATAAAAGCAAACTAAAAAAACAGAAGGAAAATGTTCAGATTCCATTCTAATACTTCTGATTCTAAAAAAATCTAATTTCAGAATGTTTATCAGCTTTTCGAAAGGTATTTGTGCGATGATTTTTTTATTAACATATTTTGTAAAGATTATATAATATACAGGGTGTTTCTGAAATAAGTGCGTTCCTTGAAGAGGCTGGTAGAGAGCACAAATGAGCAACTTTTATTAAGCCACTGATGCTGGTCTAAATGCTTCTGTTTTCAAGAAAATTAATTAAGAAAATTTACCATAAATGTGAGCCGACTCTGTGCATCTTGTGCACGTGTGTTGTGTGTTGCAGTATTACATAACTGGCGTATAAAATGTTTTCTGATCAAAAACTAGCAAATATGGTGTTAATATACGGAAAATGCCGGAACAATTTAAATGAAACTTGTCATTGGTATGCGGTCCGTTACCGTAACAGACGACGACGACAACCAGTAGAACAGTGCAGAAGGCAGTTCAAAGGTTACGGGATACCGGAAATGTCCACCTGACATATAAAGGCCGCAACGTGTTTTCGACAACGAAGAAAACATCATAAACCTCGTTGAGGAAGATCCGAGGCACAGTACTCGCGACATTAGCTGAGAAGTGGGTATATATAACAGTATCGTGTGGCGTATACACCCCTATTATGTACATACAAAGGATCTAGGCATTAAATAATAATGATTTTCAGCTCTATTTTTGTAAAGTCTATTGGTAAGTAATTCGTTTATTCGTTTAATTTTTGTGTTTCTCTTAAACGAGATCTGAATAAATTTCAGCACAAAATTTAAATCGTTAAAACTGCCAGCAGCGCTTTCATACTGCAGCGCGCGGCAGCTTCGATATCAAACGTACAGCTGGCTGCCGCACCAGGGACAGCTTTAAATTTGTTTAAGCCTTCATGCGATTTTTTTTTCAATTACAAACGTAATGTTTTAGACCATCAGCTGCTTAATAAAAGTTGCATTTTCGTACCCTCTATCACTCCTTTCAAGGAACGCACTTATGTCAGAAACACCCTGTATAATACTGTAAAACACAAATAAGAAGTGGATCTTATTTGTGGAAGGGCGAAATGGGCGGTGACTATTAGATGCCTTCATTATAGCCATCTTTCTCTATCGCACGGATTTCTATGACTTTTTTTATCGCTCTCACGCAACGGCCGATGAACCATCGGGACTTTCCGACCCTGTATATGGGATGTTCCACGTCAAGCGGATCACCAACCTGGACAAAAATTGCGTGTAACGATCGAGACGTGTAAGGGCTCAAAATTTTCGCCTAGGGGCTTTCAAACGCAACTTTTCAAAAATCCAAAATGGTGGACCCAATATGGCGGCCGAAAGCTGGACAAAACCTGAGTGTACGGCAAAAGCGGGGTTGTGAAAAAAAAATCGCAACCAATCGGCTCAAATTGTAGCTGAGTCGTTGGATGAAAAAATCCAAAATGGCGGATCCATCATGGCGGACAAAAAAACGATTTGAATTTTTAAAAAATAACCGATTTAAACCAAACTTAGTGTCCGTGGGTTTTTGAGGTCGCTGATTACGATTGCTAGGTCACATTTGCAAAATTCAAAATGGCGGATCCATGATGACGGACGAAATTTCGAAAAATCAACCGATTTCCACCAAATCTGGTATATGGGGGGTTTTCGGAAGTCGTTAAAAAATTACAATTCCAGTATGGCGGATAAAATCTTTCACCATATTGAATCCGCCATCTTAAATTTTGCAAATCCTCTTCAAAGCCTCTTACTAGGCGAACACTTTGAGCCCTTATATGTCTCGATCGTTCCACGCAATTTTTGTCCAGGTCGGTGATCCGCTTGACGTGAAACATCCCATATAAAAAAAAATAATGAGAAAATATGTTTCCTTACAAAAAATGTTTGTATTAATTTTCAAACAAATTTTATTTTAATAAATACATGAAACTGGTGATACAACCAAAAATACGTTTTCCTTTTCTTTTTAAAAAAAAAAACAATACACTTTTTGTTGTGATTTATTTTACCTATATAGATACCAAACACTAAGGTACCTTAAAATATTCCAAAAATTCTTTCTTATTTATTAACTGAATATACAGGCTGTAATTTAAATACTACTCCAATATATTTCAGAGATGATTCCTTTACGACGATAAGTTGGTATCGACCTATTTTAGAAACGTCTTAGTGTTTTTGTCAAAAAAGAACCATTTTCGAATTACCACTTTTTTAAATGTAAAATAATACCATAAAGTGAAAAAATATTAATAAAAACTGCTCATTTCAGAGATTTAGGTATACTAATTTTTTTCTACCTTTTTTGAACATTTAATGTCATTGTATTTAAAAGTCATTCTCAATTTATTCAATTGTGATGAGCTTATTGTAGATTTAAAAAAATAACTCGAAAATGGTTCGTTCTCCAAATAAAAAGGGAAGGACATAATTTTCAAAATGCTCAGTGGTATTAATTGACGTTTATTTTTAGTATCTAATTTTTAGTTATTTCTTAATATTTGCAATCGTATTTACGAATATCGAAAAACTCACATCCGTAACAACTGAATTGGATATCCTAGATTTTAACAATAACAAGTTCAATTTTCACGAAATAAAAAAAATAAGTTTTATTAATCCTCTGATTCGGCCAAAAAGGTATTATTCATAGAAAACGTTAATCCAAGTATTTGCAGTGATTCCAAGATTGCAGCTGATTAGAATTTCAGTCACTGCCAATAAAACACCCAATATTGAAGTCTGTTACTTTATTAGGACACTCTTTATACTTCTCAATAAAGATCTATTTTAGAACTATTTGAGTCAATCACACACCTAGTTATTTCAATTTAATCTTATGGCCGAAAAGGTTTTTTTTTACTTACCGGAAAACCAGCAGTTGTTCTCAGCGAATCTCGGTCTCAACACCTCATAATCGGGGTTGCTGCTGAGGTCCAAGGAAGCGGCAATCAGGGTTATGATGAAGGGTATGCCCCAGGCGTAAGCCTCGTAGAGACGGAGCCGGATTCTCTCCTGACTTTTCTCTGTGCTTTGTGGTCGCAAATCCCTGAAACAAAGAAATTACATCAATAAAAGTTCTAATAAAACGAGAATAAAAGCGAAATATTTTTACTGTCCGCCAATGTTTATAATAAACTGAAAGAAATGTTTACTTGACTATACTACTATAAACATTTTAATTGATATGTTTTTAAACTAATAACCAGGCACTAGCTACTATTTTTTCCCAACAGCATGGGACATAAAAGAGTTTATAGAGTCACATGTTACAGAAAAAATAACATTCGACTTTAATTACCCCCTTGTCGTAAAAAGCCGACTTGGACGAAGGTAATGCGAGGTTTCTAATTATTTTTTATGAGCGGTGCACTTCCTCATTCGAGGGACAACAATAAAAATATGCCGTTAAGGCATTAGAGGTAATTAGTCAGAGTTCTGATTAAATCCCAGCTAATTGCAATCGTAAAATAAGAAATGCTTTGGGTCTAGCCGGCTTCGGCTTTTTGTCAGATGTCTACTGGATCCTTCTAAAATTAACTTCCATACGATAATTATCAAGCAAGGGCATTAGAATCATTTTACGATAGTCAATTCGGAATAATTTGAGAAAAGATAAGTAAAATATTTTTTCTACTATACCAACTTCATCAAGAGATGTCGTTTTAGTTTTAACTGTCCAAACTCTTTGCTAAAAAAATCGTCAAACTTCGTCTTAAAAAAAATATTAATTCTTGAATCAACTAAAAGCGAAATTGAAGACACCTAAACCTACCGATATTTTAATGTATTTGGTAGTGACCTTTGAAAACCGCCTCTCAACAGTCTTTCGGCATGGCTATGAAGAACAAGAAACGTCAGTGAACGAAGTTGAAATTTTCACACAACTTTCGAATTCTTAAGTCAAGCCGCCGAAGCGCATAAAATATTGCTCTACAAGCTGCTATCTAGGATAGAGAGGCCAGAGCAATAGCATTAACCAACCAGAAACGTCAGGTCCAAAACGCTCCTGACGGCGAAATTTTCACTCTTGTTTTGAGTCCAGTGGGAAGATCCAACAGGGCAAAATTAGCGGAGCAACCAAGCCATGCATCTGAAAGTCTACTCAGGTGACTTGCAGGAAGTTTAAGATTCCTGGGCAGCCCAAAAGGTCGTTCCAAATCCCTATAGCACGCATTGCATTTCATGTACAGTCCCCCTATACGCATATTGATATATTGGCTCCTATACTGGAAGAAATTACCCAGAAATTTATTCTTTCCTTGAGTGTTCAATGAACCAAAATAAAGTGGAAGAATACAAAAACCTTATGGTATAAAAACAGTGTTCTAATTGCCCTAATTGGAAACTATAGTGAAAAAGTCTAAATCAACTAAGTGTTAGTAGCAGCACAACAGAGTCAAGTTTCGTCAAAAGCAGTATTCAATTGTCACTTCAGAGGCTACAATGGATATGAATAAACATTACAGAGAGCAAAGGCAATTGCAATAAATTCAAAATCGAAGCCGCTTTGGATTTTTGCAAATGTATTTTACTGTTCAATTATCTGAACTCTGCATTATTTGTTTCCATGTTGAGCAAAGAATTTTGGATTTTGTGCTTGTTTTGGACGAAACGACATTTGCATCAAATCTTAGCCATATAAAATCTGATTCTTACATGTAGGAATTGCAAATGTTCTTTTAATTTTCATTTTAAAATAAAGAATAATTGACAATTATAAAAGAATCCTTGTTCTGTATATATTTACGATCATTTTAGAGAGTTCGTCTCGATAACTATTTTATTTTAGAGTAATTACTGGTATCTACGTTCCCTTTCTATATTTTATTGTCAAATATCTATCTGCACCATCCACTTGTTGACTTCAAATTTTCCACCACTTTGACGATTATTTTCTGTTGGTGTCAACTGACAAAAGCCTTACATATCTCCACAAAACAATGTATTAACTTATATTGCTGCATAAATAGATACTAATAAAGCTAAAATATGATTTATTCGGAACTATATAGCAACTACTTCAAATTGGCTCATTGTCAGCCATATTGAAACCTTGCTTCAATGTTGTCTATGAACATGTACTATCAGAATGTACGTTGGTCTTCAGACAAAAATTAATACTGTTTATAACCAAAGAACACTTCTACATTGCATTTCTGATATTATATGATATGAACATCAGCAGTCAGCATGATTGATTCCTGACGTTTTCAGTCCTGAATTATGAAATCCTAATCTTTAGATGCGACCTAAGTCCACTTATAAAAGTAATAGTGGTGGAGTCCTAAGTACGACTAAATCGAATTTTGATGGAGCTCAAATCTATGATAATTTTGCTTTTAATTTTGACCATATTCAATGAAACAAATATGCCAATATCATAGGAATATAAGTACCTCTCAACACTTCTGGAAACTTTTAATAACATGTCTGATTGTCTTAATTAGATACTACATCTTACTTAAATTGTATCAACAATATCGAATGCAATATTTCTTCCAATCCTGGTTAAGTTTAGATCTTATTTTAATAACAAGAAGAAACTCTTGCATTGTTGTTGTCCTTTTCGTGAAAGCAGAGCAGAGTCTTTCCTTATAACATTATTCTTTTTAAAACCCAATACTTTTAGGAGTCAGTTTTGATCCCAGACTCATTTAACGACCATATTTATGCAATCGTTGTTAATGCTAATAAAAATATGGGATCGAAGTACATGCTTGTTCATGTGCTTCCTTTTGTTTAATATGAACTATTTATGTATCTGTTTTAATTTGCTTTTTCTTATTTTTATTATTACTTCTATATTTTTACGGCAATTTCTTTTTGAATGTTTTTTATACTTTACATAAATAAGCTGCTCTGTAAATGGTTCATAAGTTCATAAAACCAACTTAATAATGACTGAAATATTTTCTATTATTTACTTTTTTGTTAATGGTTTATTTAAATAAAACAATAGTAGTTTATTGATAGATTTAAATAATAATATGCGAAGCATTATTACTTGTGTTTTAAACGAATTTGGGTATCTCAATCTATTTAACAATTTAACCAAAGATGTACTATCAACAAAAATAACGTTTTTATCTTATCTTATCTGTGATCATATTTTAAAGAAATTGTTTTTTTTATTTTTCATTTGGGACAAGTCAGACCAGTAAAATAAAATCTTTACACAAGTGTACAAGAACACTGGAAATCATTTGCCAGCAAAAATCGACCCCTACAGAGGCTGATACATAGGCAAGAGGGATCACCGCAAATTCTTTCATTGTTACTGACATTCAGTACACTCCAGATGACGTATGCGTCGGAGGGAACAAAACTACTACACTTATTCCTATCTCGAATTCGAATAGTGGTAAATTCTTTACGATATAGATTTGACATGGTCGAGAACAGCTGCAATTTTGTTTTATATCCCAATACTTGGGGGTTGTCAATACTTGAATTATTCAACTTCAATTATTCATTCATTCAATTATTCATCATTTGTTAAAAATTCATCGGATTTTAACAAAATGTTATAAATATTGAGAGAACATCATATATCTATTCTCTATCAAAAATTGTGCGTTATCGATGATTATAAAAAAATAGACCAATCCAATCTTCAATTCAATTTATTATTTTACAAGAGGTAAAAAAACAACCATATTTTTTATTGTTGTTTAAGTATGTTTTTAAATCATTATATTTATAAGATCTTTACGGCACGCTTGAAATCGTAATTTATGCTTTAATTTTATTATCGCCACGTGAGATTAACTCTGTCCATATTTCGACTGTACAGATGTTGGAAAATATTAATAAAACTTAAGTACCCATTTAATAGTAGACATACGAAGGAATCTGAAAGATTTTATAGCAAGGATCGTACGGTAGGTTGGTCCTAATTTTCGTTTTTTACGGCTTTGGAAATGATTACAAAATTAAATTGAGGTATGTACGTTGGAAATGTTGTGAAAGAATAAATGCTTACATTAAGATTTCCAGTTATATTGAATTCCTCGATTATAGGTTAAAAAATATCGGTAAATTAATGTTTTAAATAAATTTGAAAGGATTTTTAACAAAAATAGTGTTTTCGTAACCAGTTTTTTATTTAGGAACGTTTATATTGTTATACGTGGTTTAGAACAATCTAATTTTCACTCGAATTCTTTCAATTAACAATAATGGATCCTTACAACACCAATTTAGTTTAACAATTTAATTATACTACATATGGAGTCAAGGTCAAGGCAAATTAATTGAAGAATCGGTTAGTATCTTTTTTTTAGAGCAAATTCAACATGAAATAATATTTAACGATCCTCAGAAGCATGATACAGGATGTTCGTTTATTTTATTACAGGAATATTTCATGAATTACGACTTGAGAATGTTTTTCAGGTTTAAAATTAAAAAAGATATAAAGGCTGATTCAAAATTTAATACAAAGAATTTAGGGGCGTATTTTTAATGTAAAAATAAAACTTTTTTCCTATAAACGTGACGTGAATTTTTCACCGTAAAGTTATAAAATTTGAAACTATGGTGTACATTTAACTCTTCATCAGCCAATATCTCGGAAATGGTTGGTCTGATGTTAGGGCCAATTTAATTCAAGTGTACCCTTATAGGTGCCGCACTCTACAAGCATTATTACTAAAAAATAAAATAAATTAAAAATTTGGAAACCCTGTATATCGAAAACTAAGGATTATAGAAAAAAATATTCTTATTTTGACCTCGAAAACAAATTTTCGAAACTTTAACAACTTTTTGATATTTTGCATTTGTCTGTTTTTCCCAGTGTGACATTTTTGATAAGGCAAAATCTTTTTCATAAAAATAACCCTTGACTGTTCCTTCTGGCACAAGCCTTTAGTTCATTAATTTTTTGACAGTTGACAATATGCCCAATAAGAAAGAAACAAAAAAGTGTATATGTACATTGTAGTATATACATGGTGATTCAGTCATAATGTCATTAATTTTAACCACATTTTCGTAAGGCTTAATAAAGATAGAAAATCGAACGAATCTTACTCGAACCTTTAA